GTTTCCCCCCTCCATCCCACCCCAGCGCCACGCACCCACACACGCACACACTTACGCACCCACACACCCACGCACACGCACACCACGCAGGTGAGGTGCACCTGGAGACTTGTATCAAGGACCTGCGGGAGCGGTTTGCGCGGGTGGAACTGGTGGTCAGCCCCCCCCTGGTGGCCTTCAGGTGGGGAGGGGGGCTGGCAGGGGCTGCGCTGCGCTGCGCTGTGCTGTGCTGTGCTGCCTCCTGCGCTGCCATCTGAGCGTCGCTGCGCCACGCTGGGTTGCACTGGGGCTGCGGGGAGATTGAGCCGTAGGCTCGATCCTTGTGCCTTGTGCTCACCAGCCTGGGGCGTGTGCCCTGCCCGGCCATGGCGCAGGGAGAGCGTGGTGTGCCGGGAGGAGGCGCCGCCCGAGACCACGGCCCGGGCCACTTTCGTTGTGGAGGCGAAGACGGCCAGCGGGGCATGCACGCTGCGGGTGGCGGCGCTGCCGCTGCCGGCTGGCGTGGCCTCCGCGCTGGACCAAAACGCAGACCTGCTGCGGGGGGCATTCGCGGCGGCGGCACGAGGCGGCGGCGGGGGCGAGCAGCAGCAGCAGCAGGCGGCGGCGGCAGGGGCGGCGGGAGCGGGGACGGCGGCAGCTGATGCGCATGTCGGCGGCGGCATGGGGGCGCCCGGCAGCGACAGCCTGGCGGCCTTTGGCGAGCACCTGCGCCGGATGGCGGCTGATGCCGATGCCGAGGCAGAGCAGCAGCCTGGCAGCGCTGCCGGCAGCGCGGCGCTGCTGGCGATGCTGCAGCGAGCCTGGATGTTTGGACCCAAGCGGACTGGCCCCAACCTGCTTCTTGCCTCGGCAGCGAGCAGCAGCAGCAGCAGCAGCGGAGGCTTGGCGCCCCTCTTCTCGCTGCCGCCCGAGCGGATTGTCAAGCTCGCCAAGCAGCCGGGGGGCAGGTCGGCAGCAGTGCTGGTGGCATCCGTGGGACGGCAGCACCAGGAGCAGCAGCAGCAACATCAGGATGATGCAGGCGGCCAGGGCAATGCAGAGCAGCAGCAGGAGGCAGAGGAGGCGGCGCGGCGGCACCTGGCAGTACCGCTTGGCTTCCCGGACGCCGCCCAGAAGCTGGGGCTGGTGGCCGGGGAGGTGGCAGCAGCGGCACATGCCACATCAGCAGTCGCTGAGCTGGCATGCCAGATAGGCAGCCAGCTCAGCGTGTCCACTCACAGCGGCAGTACAGCGGCGCCACAGAACGGCGGCACGGAGGGAGGGCTGGGCCGGAGCCTGGAGTATCTGCGGTACAGCATCGAGTCTGGTGTCGCCTCCGGCTTCCAGCTGGCTTCCGCCACGGGACCGCTCTGCGACGAGCCGCTCTGGGGCGTGGCGGTGCAGGTGGAGGCGCGGCTGAACCTCTCTCCTGCCGCCGCTGCTGCTGGCGAGGCTGGGGCAGCTCAGGAGGCCGCCTCCTTGCAGCTGGCTGAGGATGTGTATGGGCCCTTCAGCGGCCAGGTGAGCCAAGCCATGCTGCCCATGCTCCGCCTATAATGCTGCTGTTGGGGAGGAAGGCCTGACGCGTGGGTGCCTTGTAAGCTCAGCTGGCTGCCTGCCTGCCTGCTGACTACCAGCCTGCCTCCCTGCCTGCCCGGCCCCCGCAGGTGACGAGCGCCGCGCGGCAGGCGGTGCGGCGGGCGGTGCTGGAGGGCGGGCCCCGCCTGGTGGAGGCCATGTTCCTGTGTGAGGTGCGTGTGGGTGGGTGTGGGTGGGTGGGTGGGTGTGGGTGTATACATATGTGTGCTGCCCTGTGGGCGTGCCCGAGCCCTGCCTGTGTCCCTGTCGCCGCCGCGACCTGCCCCACTCCCACTCCCCTCCCCACCACATGTACCGACCACGCCTCACAAAAACACACACGCCTCCGCCTCTGCCGCGCCGCCCCGCAGGTGACCACCAGCTCCGAAGGCCTGTCTGCGGTGTATGCTGTGCTGGGGCGCCGCCGCTCGCGCATCCTGCGGGAGGAGATGCGGGAGGGCAGCGACCTCTTCACCGTGCACGCCTACCTGCCCGCCGAGGCGTCGTTCGGGTTTGCCGACGAGCTGCGGCGCCGGTCCAGCGGCGCCGCCACCGCCTCGCTGCTGCTCAGCCACTGGGAGCGGCTGCAGGTGGGCGGGTGGGCTGGTGGCTGAGGGTTTGGCAGGGGGTGGCTTCTCAGCGGTGCAAGTGGGGGGCGGGGCCCTTCCAGGGGCAGGCCAAGGCCAAGGCCACGGCAGCGCCGCGACGTGATGCCGCTCCCACGCCGCACCCGCGTCCCCACCACCCCAGCCGTCTTCCTTGCGCCACCCGAGCATCCCTGGCCTCCCCTGCCCCGCCACCTGCCTGCCCGCAGGTGGACCCCTTCTTCATGCCGCTGACCGAGGAGGAGCGGGAGGAGTTTGGGGAGGAGGGGCAGGGGGTGGGCTCCTCCAATCTGGCCAAGCGCCTGATCGACGCGGTGCGGCGGCGCAAGGGCCTGCCGGTGGAGGAGAAGGTGGTGGAGAGCGCCACCAAGCAGCGCACCCGCGCACGCAAGGTGTGAGCCGGGGCACGGCCACGGCCTGGCGGGCAGCGCGGCGCGCGGGGCAGCTGGAGGCAGGACCCGATTCCCTGCGCTATGCTCTCTGCTCCGCTGGCCACCCGCCCTGATCATGATAACATGAAACCCATGGCTTGCCAGGCATGCTCAGCATTGGCAGGGCAGGACAGCGTCACAGCACTGGCCAGCCCATCTTCAGGGGCTGCCAGTCATCGGCAGACTCAGCCGCCGCCTGCGCCGCCGCCGCGCTTCAGCTGATCCCAGCGGTTCACATCAGCTATCGCCTCCAACAGCCCGCAGCCCACCGCTTTCTCCACCTCCACCTGCTTGTGGTCTGCCCAGGGATGGTCGCAGTTGCACACCCAGGGGCTGTCAAACCGGCGGCAGGCGCAGCCGGCCTTGGCGCAGGCGTGCGTGTCGGCGGCATGTTCCACGTGCTTGTGCTTGCACCTGCAGCCGTGCGGGGCGCAGGAGGAGGGTTCTGACGGTGTGTGGCGAGGCCTTGCAGCATGTGGGCACACCGCGGCTGGCCGATCCCTTGCTGCAATCCATAAGCGGGTGCGAACTACACGCACCGGCACCGCAGAATCCAGGCGCCTTCGGCAACTATGTAAAAGAAGCCGGAGCAGGCGCACTTGCCGGCGGTGCACCTGCACATGCATTGCAGAGGGTTGGGGTTGAGCTGAAGGCCAGGGCTGAGAGGAGGGAGGTCACCCACCCACCCACCCATGCACGGTAGCGCAAGGCCTCCGCCTCACCGGCGCGCCCCTCCCGGGTCGTGCTCCTTATGGCGGTGGCCGCACAGGCAGCGCGACTCGGAGCGGATGGGTATGCACTCCCTCTGGCATGTGCCGCATATCTGCAGCACCACACACGATAAGTCAGTGAGAGATTCAAACATTAGGAGCCGGCGGCAGGCAGCGAGCGGGCGGGTGGGGGCGGGTGGCAGCACAGCGGCTGAGCCGGCCGCCCTGGATTCGCGGCAATCTGCAGCATGCATTGGACGCTACAGGCAGTGCTTCAGCGCGTTTTGCAGATGCGCTGGCCGCCCTCACCCAGGCCAGACGTGTCGCAGCCATCCGTCGCTGCCGATCAAGCGTGAGAGCCTCGCCACAGGACTGTAAACTCGATTACGAGGGCTTCATTTCGCCGCTGCCATTGCTTGGAAGAAGGCGGCCCATTGACCAGACCCCCGCACTTTTCTGGCGCGGCCGCTCTTGTGTTGATCGCTCTCAATTGTGTAGGGAGGGTTTTCAGTCTGCTTGAGAAGAGGGGGAGAGCCTTTCCGGGCACAGGCTGGACAGCATGGCAGACCCAGCCGACGAAACTCACAGCCTCCTGGCCTACTACCAGCACCGCGTGTGTGAGCTCAGCATCGATGTCGAATGCCGGCCGGCTCAGCGCCCCCTACGTCGCCGCTCACCCGTCCCGCCGCTCGCTCCGCCACTGCCTCTGCTACAGCCGCCGCCGATGCGGAGCGCCAGGAGCTGCTGGAGCGGGTGGCGGCCTGCAGCGGGCCCACGCCAGCAGAGACATACAAGCTGCAGGCGGAGAACCGCAAGCGCACCGACGAAGTGCGGGAGCTGCAAAAGGTGCGTGGGGCGGCCGCGCAAGAATCAGCCGTGGCAGAGCAAACCACCGCTGGCTGCCGTTCCCTGCATCCACTTTCCCATTCCTCCAGCACCCGGAGACCACTCCTCCTTGACCAGCATGCTGCAGGCGCTGAGCGATGCCCACACCTACCTGTTTGAGGAGCGGGAGCGGCTGCTGGCGCTGCAGGCCGAAAACGACTCGCTGCGCCTGCAAGGTGCGCTGCCCCATAGTGCTGCCGGCAGTCGCCCATGCCCTGCCCTATTACAGGAAACGCCAGAACCTTTGCACGCCTTCGAGTTCAACCCAATGGCCTGCTCGCCGCCACCTCCTTACCCCTGCTACCTCCTTGCCCCTGCCGCAGAGGTGGAGGACCGGGCGCGCATCAAGCAGCTGCTCTCCCTGACCCGCCCCGTTGAGCACAAGGTGGTGTATGGCAGCGAAAACGGCCCACACTCCAATGCTGTCTTCCCACGCAGCAGCGGCGGCGCCAGCGGCGTCGGCAGCAGCGGCAGCAGCAGGAGCCCCCGGCGCGGCGCCAGGGCCGGCGGCGCTGGCGGCGGCAGCCGCGAGAGCGGCGTGCCGCCCGCCGGCGGCCCCGCGCCCGAGCGCATCCTGCGGACAGTCTACCTGCCCACGGCCCAGGGGGAGGCGCTGGCGCTGCGGTGCGAGGCGCTGCAGGCGCAGCTGGCGGAGCAGAAGAGGTTTGCAGCCGAGCGGATCGCGGCGCTGCAGGAGGATCGGGCGATCCGGGAGCGGGACGCCGCAGCGGCGGCCACCGCGCTGAGCGCCACCGCTGAGGAGCTGGCCGAGAAGCTGCGCGGCGCTGAGGAGGCGCTGCGGTGCACCACCCGGGACTACATCCTGGCCCGCCAGCAGCGGGATGTGGCGGAGGAGGCGGCGGCGGCGGCACGCGCGGTAGCGGCAGGCGAGCGGCATGCGGCAGCCGAGGCGCTGGAGGCGGCCGAGGCGGCGGCGGCGGGGCAGCTGCAGCGCCAGCGGCAGGAGCTGGAGGCCGACAGCCGGGCCACGCACCAGGCGCGCCGGCTCTCTTCCCGCGGGGCTGCTTGGCCGTCTGCGCTTCAAGAGCCGCCACTGGCGTCAGGATACCGGCGCACATGACTTGGACCCATGCCTGCCTGCCCTGCTGCCTGCAGGCGTTACAGGCGCAGCTGGCGCAGCGCGCCGAGGAGCTGCTGAAATTTGAGACGGTGCACAAGCTGCTGCGCTCCCAGCTGGAGGCGCGGGCAGCGGATGCCGAGCGGCGGGCTGCTCGCGCGTCTGCTCGCGCCCGCGAGCTGCAGCTGCGCCGCGCCCACGAGATGGAGGGGTGGGCCAGCGACGTGGGCCAGCTGCGCAAGCGCATTGCGGCAGTGGAGCGGCGGCTGGCGCAGGCGGCCCTGCTGCAGCGCCTGCCGGACGATGAGCGGCGGGACGCGGTGCTGGCCAGGCATGCCAGGTGGGCAGCCGTTCTTCCCCCTCCACCAGCCCTGGCACGCGGGTGGAGACCACTGCGCAACTGCCGTCGGCTGGGGCTTGCTGTGCCTCCTCATCTCCCCGTCAGCCCCACGCCACCCCCGTGCAGGCTGCTGCCTGGCGGCTCCCAAGCCTTTGACTATGAGTGCAGCCTGGACGACCTGGTGGCCGAGCTGCTGTGCGTCAAGGACTCACTGCTGGGGATGGGCGAGCGGGTGCGGGGCGCTGCGCAGCCTGCGGCGGCGGCGCAGCAGCACGAGGGGGACGAGCCGCTGGGCGAGAGCCAGGACGCGGGCTAGCACCAGCACTGGCTGTAAGGCACTGGCCAGGAGGAGAGTGTTCAGTGGGCAGTCGGAGGGGAGCAGGAGATGGCACAGAGACGCCGTGCCGTGCCGTGCCCCTTGCACCCGCTACTCGCCCTCTCTACCCACCCTGCTCTGGCAGGCGGAGAGGGGGTGTGTTACAAGCGAAGCCACGGGCCTTTACAAGCGGTGAAGCGCCAAGACATGAGAGCCAGCGAGCCAACACGGCGCAGGGCAGGGCAGGGTCAGCTGGCGGCGGCCACGAGCGCCGGGTCGGCAAAGAAGTTCCTGAAGTAGCGCAGGCCCTCGGGGCCATCGTCGCGGCACAGCACCCCCCTGGCCTCCGCCATGCGCAAGTGCTCCCCAGCCACCGGCACCGGCATAGCCAGCCGCACTGCCACCTCGGTGCGGGTGATGGAGGGGCCCAGCGTGGCCAGCAGGACCTCCTCGCCGGCTGCCAGCGAGGCGCGGGACGGGCCAGCCGTGGCCTCCCCCTCGGGCGCTGCCGCAGTCCCAGCTGCTGTCGCTGCTGCCGCCGCAGCCGCCGCCGCGGCTGCCGCGGCGCCCGTCTGCGGCTGCACCATCTCCGCCAGGCGGCGGCAGACGGCGTCGTCGCTGTGGCTGGCCGCCTGCACCACCTTGACTCCAGAGGCAAACTCGCGCAGGGTGTAGGGGGCGCGGATCTGCGGGCCGGGGCAGCGGGGGGCAGGCAGGGGCAGGTGGCCGCAGGGGCTGGCCACACCACCGTGCCTGCGTGCGAGGAGCTGCCACCCGGCGAGGCCCAGCCCAAAACACTCCTGCTTCTTGCCCAAGCCTGGGCCTGCTTCCGCCGGGGATCCAACACAAACACATACACACACACACACACACACACATACCTCCCATGCCTCCTCCCTCCCTCCCTCCCTCACCAGCCCCACCCCACCTTTGGGAAGAGGCTGATGGCGGCAAGCAGGTCGTCTGGCGAGATGAGCTCGGTACCGCGGGCCCTGTTGTACAGGCAGTACACGTCGGGCAGCGGCATCATGCCGCTCGCCCGCTCCATGGGCACCCTCAGGAAATCAGCCAGCTGCAGGGCGGGGGGGGAGGGGGTGCAGGAGGTGTGTGGGGGGCAGGCACAGCGCGCGCTGCCCGTTGGGGCTGTCGTGGGCTGGGGGGTGGCCTGCCACCCCCGCACGCTGGGAGGCGCGGCGTGGCGCCACCAGCGCGGCATGCAATCCCCACCTGGCCCCGCCCCCACCAGTACTGCACCCGTACGCGGACCACCCGCTCCCACCTGCCGCGCCAGCTCCTGGTGGTACAGCGAGCCCGCGGTATCCCGCGTCACGGGGCTGACGATACCCAGCTCCAGCAGCTCCAGCGCCGTCTCCGCATCCAGCTCATCCTCACCTCCCTCGGCCCCACCTGCAGCCAGGAGGCCAGGCAGGCTGGTGGGCGGGGGCTGGAGATCCGCAAGTGGGGTGCAGAGGGAGCGCTGCGAGTGGCAGTCTGCGTGCTGCAAGCACGTCCGCAGGCCGGCCGCCACCGGCCCGCGCGCAGTCCAACAGCCGGGGAGCCGGCCAAGCAGCCAGCCTGGCGCAAGCCTGGCACCTCACCCCCTCCCTTGGCCGCGCCAGCTGCCCCCCCGCCCC